GACGACAAATGACTATTGTGGCGGAAAGTTAATTATAATCGAAAAGGCATAGGAATTCTTTTTTTTTATTTCGCAATTCAATGGATGAATATATCAAATAAAACTTGTATACAGTTTTCTTAAAAATTGTAATCTATTTCGCAATTACGATTTTAAAAATTGTAATCCCGTATATATTTCACAATAAAAAAAATAAATTCAAATTTCATGAATTTATAAAATCATGCTTTACAAAAGAAAACCCTGTAATTTTGGTTTCGATTTCTTGAAAATAATAATATCAAAAAATCATGTCTAATAATAAATAATTGGGTTCTAAATCATATAATTTAGGCTTACCAAATGTAAGAAATTTCCAAATAGCATTATATGATTTTAGAACACCAAAAGATTTAGGCTTACTTGTTGAAAACATGATACATGATTCTAGATTTCTTGAAGGCTTCTTGTTTCCTCTAATGCTCCTACAATGGAAAGACCATGATCTTCTTCTGCAATTCACACAACTCCATGATTACACCCGTCGATGGGACAGGTTGTGGAGTAACGGTTTTCTAACACGTTGTGAATGCAGAGGGGACCTAGCCAATTTATTAACCCTAGTCCCCTTCCCATCATGGGCCTATGAGTTAGGCCTACACTGTTACTCACACTAATCAGTTTAGAGATATCCAAGCCCAAACAAAAAGATCACTAATTAACTGGGCTTTATATTGCACCCCTATATGGATCATGACTTAGTCCGTTCTTACATTTAGGACCCTCATCAGCATGAGAAGTATGAGCTATACCCAACATATTGTTCCTCTTATTATCATACCACTTCAATCTATCCTACTTCCCAAATTCTTAACTGTTGTCTATCTTCTTCCACCACATCATATTGCTTCTTGAAGCAGCCAAACAAAGTTATTTCTGAAGATCATGCAAAAGTAGAACACACTATTGACAATCAGCCAAGAAGATGCAACAGCAGAAAGACTAGCAAAGATATCTATTTGATAACATGATATCCAATCTTTACAATACCACATGTTATTAAGCAATCAGAACATGTCAACTCACTATATGAATAAATAATTATTTAATTGCACACAAACCCAATGAGTTGCTAGTAAAATAAACCAGCATACCTTGAATAGGCCCAAAAGAAACACCGAGATTATGCGCTGTTGTAGTCTTTGATCTTGTTGTTTGAGATTATGCACTTTTGCACACACAAACCCAACGAATTGCTAGTAAAATAAACCGGCATACCTTGAATAGGCCCAAAAGGAAAACTGAGATTATGCGCTGTTGCAGTCTTTGATCTTGTTGTTTGAGATTATGCACTATTGCAGTTTTTGATCTTGTTGATACGGTAGAGTTCTATTGATAACATATTATGAAATTGATAAAAGAGATAAAAAATGTAAGAGAGAAGAGACACAGAAATAGGATAGAATCTTATTCTCATTCATCTGATCATGCCACTACAAGTATTATGTATATATAAAGATACGACTATGAATGGAGAATTGATGCTCCATTAATGTAGTGGTTACAAAATCATAAATAAGAGATAATTGTAACGTTAATGCCAACGGTAACTCCATCCGTAAATGCATCATTAGTGCCAACGATAACGTCATTCATAATTGTATCATTAGTGCCAACGGTAACGTCATCCATATTTTACAACATCATTCTTTTAAAAGATAATTATTTTGAAATAAATCACTGCTTTTTATTTAATATTTAAAATTAAGAAATATTTCACTTTTTTTTATTATGCTATTTCTTTCACCATAAAATATAATAATTTTAATTAATATGACATAATTATATATCCTTTAAAAGAACAAATATCAATCTCTAAAATAAAATATATAAAAAAACCTATTCATAGACATGTTTTAGACCTTTTATAATGTTATTTTTAAGAGGGAAAAGTATTTCTACAGCCTCTTTAGATAAGGTTATCTACAACTACCCCAAAAACTACGTCGTTTTGATTAATGAAGGGTGTTTTTATAATTTTAAGTGAATTAAAGAAAGGTGTTTCAGTAAAATATATATGATAAAAAATAAACAAAAGTACAGAAACATCCTTCATTAATTCACCTAAAATTATATAAACACCTTTCATTAATCAAAACGACGTAGTTTTTGGGGTAGCTGTAGACAACCTTATCTAAAGTGGCTGTAGAAATGTTTACCCTTTTTAAGAGTTCAACAAAATCCACTCCCTCTAGAATATAGTAATTTTCCATTTCTTATTTTATACACTTTTCATTTTTATTTTTTTTAATTCAATTATTCTATTTTAATAAAGTATACCTTTTATAATTTGAACTATTATTGTTTTATATTTTATATATTATACTATAATTATAATTTCAAATATTTATTGTCTTAATTTTTATTTTTTACTTGTATCTTTTATCTAAATTTAAAAATATTCATTTTTGGTCAGCATTGTTTGTCTGATCAAGATTGCCTTAGAAAATTTCCAAGTGAAGTTGATATTAAGCAAACTGTGTTCAGTATGGGTGCCTTTAAAGCACCGGGAACTGGTGGATTTTGTAACAGTCCATTGTACACCGGTATTGTTAACATTAATTATGATATTAAGCGCAGTTACAATCACAGCAATTCATTTATAAAAGTGGTATCTCCAGCTCAGACTAGCTTTGTCCCAAATCGTCATATTCAAGATAACATTATTGTTGTTCAAGAGCTAGTCCATTCAATGAGGAAAATGAGAGGAAAGAAGTACTTTATGGCTGTTAAAGTTGATTTGGATAAAGCTTACATTCGTTTAAATTGGAATTTTATTCGTAAGGGGTTGGTTGAAATCAAAGTGCCTGATAGATTAACAGATTTAATAATGACAACAGTGTCTTCTCCAAAGACCAATTTGACTTGGAATGGCAGCCTATCAGAGGAGTTTCAACCTAGTAGAGGTGTTAGACAAGGTGATCCCCTATCACCTTACCTATTTGTTTTAGCTATGGAGAAGCTCTCTCACATAATCGAGACTGCTGCGAATGGTGGTTTGTGGAAGCCAATTAGAGCTGGTAAGGGGGGACCAAAAATATCACATATTTTGTTTGCTGATGACCTGATGCTGTTCTTAGAGGTTGATGAAGAGCAACTTCATGTTCTTCTTCGGTGTCTGAATCTCTTTGGTGACATATCAGGCCAGAAAGTTAGTGACCAGAAAACAAGTTTGTATTTTTCTAAAAATACCCCAATGCAATTGCAGACAGAATCACTGAGTTGAATGGATTTAAGCGCATAAGAAATATTGGTAAGTATCTTGGGGCAATGATTCAACATGGAAGAGTGACAAGACCTTATATGCTGGAATTGTTGATAGAATGAAGGAGAGACTAACCAGCTGGCAAGCACAATCACTTTCCCAAGCAGGTAAAGTTGTTCTTGCCCAATCAGTGTTGTCTTCCATCCCTTTCTACCATATGCAAAACAATATGCTCCCTAAGAATATTTGTAATGAGTTAGAGAAAATATAAAGGGCTTTCATTTAGGATGACTAGCCTGGCAGAAGAGATATGCATTTGATTGCTTGGGATAACATAACAAAGACAAAGCTAGCAGATGGATTGGGCATCAAAAAGTTGTCATCTATGAATGAATTTTTTTTTGGAAAATTAATCTGGACTTTCATTAATGAGCTAGACCAGCTCTGGGTAAAAGTGTTGAAAGCAAAGTATTATAGTGCAGGTAACATACAAAATGTATTCAACTGGAGAACTGGAAACTCTCATCTTTGGAAGCACTTGTGTAAAGTTTGGTTCAAGCTCAAGCCTAGACTGATTTGGGATGTTGGAGATGGATCATCTGTTAACTTTTGGGAAGATAAATGGCTGGATCATGGAGAGAATTTGGCTAGCAAAGCCATTGTCCCTATTCCCCAAACAATTATTGGTAGGAAAGTTAGAGAGTATGTTGATAGTGATGGATCCTGGAATCACAGGGAGCTATATAGCCTTCTACCTCAGAATTGCATTCAATCAATTAGAAGCCTTCTTCCTCCTTATGATACAAATGGTCCTGACAGACTTTCATGGAGTTTAGATGGATCTGGTAGGGTCACAATTAAGCTACTGTATAATGCTATTCTTAATTATGATAGAGAGGATTATCATAATAATGAAATATGGTCTGTTATTTGGAAAATTAAAGGTCCTATTCGGATCATCATGCTCTTTTGGAAGATGGTTCATCATCGTATTCCAACACGATCCTTGCTGGCGAGAATGAATATATTGTCTGCTACTTGTCCTTAATGTAATATTAAAGAAGAGACCATTATTCCCATGGCTAGATATTGCAGCAAGGTAAGGGATATTTGGCTGGAATTGGTCCAACTTGAAGAGATCAATGGTTTCTTTAGCTTAGATTTAGATAGCTGGATGCTGGAGAACTTGAAGAATAATGCTGTGATTCAATTTAATGCTCCCTGGTCTTTGTGTTTTGCTGTAACAGTGTGGCTAGCTTGGTTTTGGCATAACGAAATTGTGCATGGTGCTGCTGGTAATTGGCTAGCCTATAAAACTATGACTATTAAGCAAAAGGTTGAAGAGATCACTCAAGCTTGGGTGAATGGTCAAACTGCAAAGCCTAATAGAACTCATGAAATTATTCATGTTTTTTGGACTGCTCCTATAACACCTCGTATTTCTAAATGTGTAATTATATATGATAATGTGATTTAAAGGGGTAGGATTAATGAAAATCCTGAAATTAGGGCCAAAATACGTAGAAAGGGCAAAATGGTAATTTACCAAACACATATCCCTAGGCAAGAAAAATTGAGTAGAAAGCCTCAAATGATAAAAATAAGGCCGAAGATGGATTCAGGACGAAAAATCGAGTGGATAGGCAAGTTTCAGAAAATTTGATGAATAATGATTTTGCCGGTGTAAAATACTGCAGTATAATTATACCGTTAAGCGCGAAATTATGATCAAAATTTTTAGGAAATAAAAATATGACGTGAACGAGAAAAATACATAGGTTATGAATTTATGGGTTAAATTGAATGATTTAAGAAAGTTAAAAGACATGTGGGACCCACTTAAGTGACTTAAGTGGGTGAAAAGCCAAATTTCACTAAATTTTCAGATTCTCTCTCCTCCTCCCTCTTCTCTCTCGTGGCCACCATGGATGCTTGGACAAGTTTTTTTTCAAAAACTTCAATCACTCAAAACTCCCTCAAAACCCACTCAAATCCAAAAGTGTAAAACATCAAAGTTGTTCCAAATCACCTTGTGAACATCTTTCTTTTCTTGAGTGAGCCACGAATTTGAGTGTACAAGAAGATCATTTTCCTATTCTGGGTGGCGGTTTTGGTGAAATTGGTGGTGGTTGGTGGCGATTTTGGACCGTTCAAAGGTTGAAGCTTGTTCTTGGGTTGCCTAGGAGTTGATTGGTGGTAAGCTTTTCTCTCCAATCTTTGATTTTGAATTGGATTGAATATGTGACCTAGGGTTGTGCTCTTGAATTGATATGGTTAGAGGACTCAAATGGAAAATGTGTATTAGATAAAAGTGGCTTATAATGATGTGTTAGAGTGATTAAACTCATAAAAATTATTGGTGAAATTGTTTGATAACTTAGGAAAATTTGTGATTGAATTTTAAGACTTTATGAATGGGCATGATAATGGCATTGGATAATTGAATTGTGGAGCATTGATATGAGTTAATAATAGGATTGTATGATATATGTAAGTGTAAAATTGGATTGAAAACCTTGGAGCATAAGTCCATGCACAATTCGACCTATAAGGGAATTTAGGAAAAAATGTGGTTTAATCAATGGTTGATGCTTTAGTGCATAATTGGAGGATTGGTGAGTTAGATTTATGATTAAAATGGTGGAGGTAGTTGAATTAATAGTGAGGGGGCCATTAGGCCTAAGTGGCTATAATTGGTTAAAATTCTTGTGAAATTGATTGATTGTTTGCAATTGTTTGATGGTCATTGTGTTTGATCATATTGGTTGTCTCTCACGGAACCAATAGAAACGGACTAAGCTTGGAGCTTACGTGAGGAGCATTACTCTTGGAGTTGAGGTAAACCTTTGGAACTTGGGTTTTAATCCCTTGTGTGCTCCACCACACCTAGTGGAAGGTTGTGATTTGATTTTGTGCTTTTGACATTGTGTGAATATGTATGTTCATGCATTATTGCTTGATTGTGTGACATGCTGAGCATGTTGTGTGTGAAGTTTTTTGATCTTTGGTCAGTAGATGTGTGTGATTTGGACTTCCGCTGGAGATATCCTTTGGGGATTCCGGTCGGGTTTGCCGTGGGGCCGACTCTGGGAGCGGCACCAGGATGATCCAAACGTGAGACTTTCGCTGGATAGGGCTCATGAGGAGTTCCAATTGGGTTTTGCAATGGGGTCGTCTCATCCATGGGAGAGGCACTAGGAAGCTTCACGGGAGTTATATGATGGGGTCCTTGAACGAAATCTTTATGTGGATGTTCTTGGATTTGTACCCAGTTGTTTGTGATTTTGTATGCTTATGCATTTTACATGATGTTGTTGTTGCACATTGAGTGAGCCATGGGGTGGAGTGATCCTCTAGTACCCTTGGTTTACTGAGACATATTTATATATCTCACCCCGCGTTTGGGGACATCATTTCAGGCTATAGCGAGCATGGAGGAGCTTCGGGCAAGAGGCCCGCTTAGTGGATAAGTTGAGGATGATGTGCATTGTAACACCCTCTCTTGTATGCATCCAAGAGAGTCGTTTGCTAATCGTTATTAGAGTTGCGGAAACGGATAAAAACTTTTTCTAAAAAAGATCCTTAAGAAACTGTTGTGGAAAGCTGAATCTAAGAAAAAATTTGATGGAAAGAACTTAAAATGCGTTGCTGATAAAAATGGTGAAAATTTAAGAAAACCGTATTCCTTTAAATATTAATATAAAATAGAGTTTTCAAAATATTTTTGTACCGTTAATGCAATCTGAAAGTAGACGCTTGGGGCTTCGCGTGCATATAAAATAATAGTAAATCCGAGTTCATTTGCCCCTCGAAACATAACTCGTAAGTTGTCCGTAAATCGTTAAAAATTCAGCATTTGATAAACGTTAAGAAAGTCCCTTTTCGCAAAACATTTCAGATTTCTTAAAGCAGCCGCTGTTCATAAAACGACTTAAAGCAGAAATAAGTCATAGTTTTACAGTCATCCAAAAATCATCAAGTACCACATAATACAGTCATCCCAAGCTTAAAACAGTCAACAGTGAATAAATCCAGACAGCAGCAAAAATATAACAGAGTTCAACATCCAAGTCCTCAAATGCTTTTACGTCCTCCTGCAATTAAAAATTGCAGCCCCAAAGGGGTGAGAATAAACCCAGTAGTGTGGCAACAAAACCAAATGCAACAGTATTAACTAGGCACAAAATCATAAATAGTCACTTCAAACATTTAATCCTTTTCATCATATATCATAACGCGTATATAACGCCCTTTTTCCTTTACGCTCATAGCACCGTCGTGCGCGTAGCATCACAGTGGGTATTCCTAATGGCTCCCATGAAGGTGAATCCCACTGTGGAACCTATGCGGACTGAAGCCAAGTGTCCCCTCTCCTGGTACCAGGCATGCCTATATGATGCATGCTCAGTGACATGTCCTCAATACAAATATATATATTCAAGATGTCATGAATCAAGTATACATGCCATGTTATGCAATCGCACCCAACAAAAAAATGTATTATGATGTAAAATGCATGCATATATCATATCATTCTTTCATATTCTTACCATTGGCTCATCATCATCATAACATACATAGAACAAATGTGAGCAACACATCACAATTCCATACACTAGCCAATAGTCACATTAGGTAATACCGCCTACACATACCTCGTACGTCGAAACTTACTTTACCGATTCACAACGAAACAGTCCTACGTCTCAAAGATTTTTCGCACCTATTTTACATTATAATAAATCAGCATACGTTTCACTTAAATTTAATAATTTGACAACAATTCCTCAAGCCTACATATCCTTACATCATTCTGCTAAATCGGTTCCTTTTTCTAAAATTATTCTTGACTCTCATTTGACCTTCTTTAATGCTAACCCGTGAAAAAAACAGTGATCATTTCCACATAAAACAGTGAGTAAACGTTGAGTATCTTCACCCAAAACAGTGAGCATAACAGTGAACGTTTTTACTTAAAACAGTGAACGTTTTTCCAATAAAACAGTGAACGTTTTCAAATAAAATAGTGGACATTTTACAGCAACGTTTTTCAGCAACAGTGAGTAAAACAACATCGTTTTTTCAGCGAAACAGTAAGCAAACAACAAATTTTTTTTTCCCAGCGAAACAGTGAATAAAACAGTAAGCAAACAACAACGTTTTTCACTTAACACAGTGGCCATTTTTTTATCAAAACAGCGAACGTTTTCCTTCAATAAAACAGTGAATAATTTATGACAAAACAGTGAGCTAAAGGTCAACATATGATAACGTTTTCAAAGGAATAAATTTTCCTAAAACTTACTACTCTAGTAGGTGCGCTACAATGGTGCATAAGATGTTGTCGTCATAACTTTGTTTCAAGGAAAATCCTAAATACATATATAACATGCAAACATTCCTACCTTTTTAATATTTAAGATCATTTTCGTTTTATCCCAAAAGCTTTTAATTTAAGACTCAAAACAGAACCTAAAGGCATAAAATTTATAAATGAAAGGCTATTTTCTAAGTCATGCTTCACTATTTAAAACAAGAGAATGGTGGTGGGATTTTCGTGCCTACCTCTTGGCGGAGCACAAGGTAAAACCGAATGGAACCAAGGGCACTACTTCAAGCTTTAATCTACTCAAACAGCAGGCTTTTCTCTCTAGGAACTATGGTGCACAGCCAAGAGAGAAGATATAGAGACAAGATATGATAAAAATCCTTGGTTGACTCCAAGAGACTCCACGGTTTTAGATGGAAAATATAGGAAAGGTATGAAGGTGTTCCTTGTGTTGTCCCTCTAATGATGCTACGGTTTAAGGGTGGAGGAAATAAGGAGGAGGTGGTTGATTTATGGAAGGGCTACGGTTTGAGTGGGGGAAACAACAGAATGAAGTTGAAAATCCTTTACTTGGTGTTACAAGTTCACGGTTTTAGAGTGGAAGAAAACAAAGTAATTTTGCTTGGTTTCTATCTTCAGCAACGCTTGAGTGAGGAGAGAATGAAGTTGAGGTAGATTTAAATTGTGAAGTGTCTTAAAAATGCTGAAGACTTCCCTCA